CGCGGCCAGGCCCTCGTCACCCCAGTGCAGGGCAGCAAGGCCCAGGACCCAGGTTCTGGATGGACACGGTGAGCACAAGGCCCCGTAAAGAAGCAGGGACCCCACTCTGCTCACCCTATTCCTGTACCTCAGAATCCCTATAGGACCCACAAGACCTGGCCCCAACCCCTGGCCTCCATATTCCTCCCAGGAATCCAGAGGGTCTGTTCTGAGCCTGGCCCCCCGCCAGGGGTCCTACCCAGAGGTCGGGGGTCATGGGAGCATGGGGAGAACTGTTGCAATGACTGGTCAGGCTCCCCCGGTGGAGACTCTGAAGGGTACAGGCTGCTGCTGTTGCCTGGAACATTCTTAATCTGGAACCCTAGACTAAGGGTTCCCCCACTGCCAGAGGAAACACCGCAGGAGGACTTGGTCCCCCCACATCCCTTCTCTCATTCTCCCAAACGCCCTCAAGCTTGCCTCAGTCAATTGTTCTCTCTGCTGGCCAGGCGCCCCACACTTCCTTCCTTGTTTATTTATTCCTTTATTTTTAATCCTCACCCGAGGATATCTTCCCACTAACTTTTAGAGAGAGTGGAGGGAGGGGGAAAGACAGAGAGAAATATCGATGTGAGAGAAACACATCGATTTGGTTGCTGCCTCCTGCACATGCCCTGACCAAGGCCAAGGCCCGTGCCCTGGGAGGAGCCTGCCACCGAGGCACGTGCCCTTGACCGGAATCAAACCCAGGACCCTTCAGCCCAGAGTCTGACATTCTATCCACTGAGCCAAATCAACTGGGGTTCACAATGTTTGAAGTCTGCTATTTCCCCCAGGAAGATGTTAGGCCTCCTGGTTGGGTCTGTTTATGAGGTAGAGGCGGCCATCTTGAGCCAATGCCACCTCCTCTGAGGAGTCTTCCTGGATGCCCTCACCAAAACAAATGGGTCCTCGTGCTGCTGGTTCACAAAATTTTAATTTGTTGGCTTTATATCTGGATTCCCATTAGCCTATAAACTCATCCAGGGCAGGGTCCTTGCTCCCTCAGTCTGGATCCTCCCAGCCCCTCCCCAGCTGTGACACCAGGTACCCTCCGGAAGAGCAGGTGGGAAATGAGGTAGAGTACCCATTGCTTGGGTTCAGGCGTGAACTAGCCGCAGTGCAAGAATCCCCCCAGTGGCTGCCCCAGGTACCCAAAGGGGAGGGACTCTGGATGGCAGCAGAATTGGAAGGGGTGATGGTCACAGCCACTCATTGTAGGTTCCAGTTAAAATAAAGATCGACCACCAGTTTAGACACAGTGCTTCTCACCAGAGCAGCTAAAATACCAAATGGCTGCAAGGTTGGCACGAAGGCTTTGTTCAGACCATCTTACAACTGACACATTGGCTCGGCCGTGAGGGCCAATCTCAGGACTGGTGCCTTTCCTCTCTGCCCCACCAGCCCAGCCCAGGCCTGGCACAGAGCATGCCCCAAGACCCACCAGGAAGGGAGAAGTCAACTATGGGTTTCCAAGAACTGGGCCCCAAACTCCTGCAGCAAGGCCCGCCCCCTCACACAGAGCCAATGCCAGAGCAGGAAGGGGCTCTGAGCTCACCGGTTTCCACCTCTGCGATATACCCAGGAGGCAGGTGAGGCCCAGAGGAGGAAGGCAGCAAGCCCAGGGTCACACAGCCACATCTACCAGCTCCCTGCCCAAATTCCTCTCCCATAGCAGGCTGCCGCAACCCTGCCCTGGCCTCCCTCTCTCCCATCCCGCCCTCCTCACAGTCAGACCAAGACCCAGCTGCCCAGAATGTCTTCTCGGATCCCCTCCCGGCCTCATCCAGCCTCACTCACTTGCTCAAGCTCTGTCCTCTGCCCACAATGCCTGACTCTCCCTTTGGACCCAGCAAACTTCCACTCATTCTTCAAGGCCCAGTTCAAATGCCATCTTCTCTGACACCTCAGGTCATAATCACTCCCACTTACTGAGCTCCCACCCCACTGTGTTCTGAAAAACCAACAAGGTCATGTTGACTCTACTTAGGGGGTCCCCATTGCTTGGCACCCAAATTCACTGAGGGCAGGGACCTGACTCTGGACAAAGCAGGGTAATAGCAATATCTGCCTACACAGTGCATATGACCGAAGGGCCTTGCGCCCTGTCAAGTCCTGGGTGACGGGGAGCTGTCTGCATTATCGTCAGATTTCCTCCCCACGGCTGTTTCCTCACCCACCCCACGGGGGCAGCTCATGAAAACACATGACAGTGCGTGTGCGGGGACGGGATGCACGTTGTGCCTGAGCCGTGGGAAGGATTCATTCCTGTTCCTGTTCTTATTTGTGACACCTTCGTTTCCCTTTATCTCCCTGAGGGCCTTGCTCATGGGCCAGTGCTCAGTTCGTATTTTCTTTGGAATGAATGACTTTGGCATTTGAGACGCTGAAGAAAATGGGTTAAAATCCAAAAACCACATGGAGACCCAGAGTTAAATCTTATCATGGAAATGCTGCCCAGTAAGTAGCCTTCTGAGTCCAAAGGTGGCTCGGCTGGGACTCGGTCAACAGTCCCTTGCCCTCACAGAGCAGGTTTCTGGAACAGGCCAGAGTGAGGAAACCTCTGCTCTGGGGAGGCCTCTGTGCTGGGTGTGGCCCCTCAGGAACCTGGATGGGGAGGCCCCTGGGATTCAGACTGAGGGACTGGCCTCTGGAGATGAGTCAAGGGCACAAGCAGAGGCCCAGCCTGAGGCTCAGCCCTGTGGGGTCCATTTCTACCCCTGACCAAAGGCAGGGGACCAGGCGAGCCTCAGTCCCACTGCAGTGCAGGCCTTCAGAAGCCCCTCGCTGGACAGCCTCTGAGACCTGATCCAGCTTCTGCCAATGTCACAACAAATCGATGTCCACCTGCCAGGGAGCCTCAGGCCCCCTTTGGACAAATAAGTGAAGCCCAGAGATGTTCAGTGACCTGCCCAGGTCACACAGCTCATGAGAATGTTTACTCAGAGGCCACCCAACGTCAGCCACACCGGCTAAGCAACGCCTGGCCCCAGGCCCCCCGAGCAGCCTCTCACCCCCAACAACCAGAGTGCAGCTCGTCACTGTGTACCACTGCCCAAGGCCACGTGTCCTTGCTTCATGGGTGCTGTGTCGGGGTCACGAATGATCCCTGCATCATCTAACCGTCAGTGACCACTTTAGTGGGCTGCTGAACTAGTTCAATAACAAGGGAGTTTGCAGGGGACCAGGGGGGTGGACAGTTACTTTATTAATGTGATTACCACCCACTGATGCCTGTGGTCTCCGGTATTCATGTATGGCAGCAGTCAAACCCGGGGGAGACCCGCCCTGTCACTGCACAGTGGACAGCCTACGTGGCCGATGGCCTTAGGAGGAGTTCACTCAGCACACTGCCGGTGTGCACCGGCGCTCCCTGCCTCTCTCTCTGCACGGACCCTGCATCCCTGGGTGATTCCAAACGTCACCTCGGATTTTCAACCAAAACGTGTGGCCACAGCACAGCGGTAGCTAGCCAGCAGGCTGGCGGAGGGCTCCTGCTGCCCGGAACTGCTGAGCCAGGGTGGGCCGGCGGCCAAGGCTCGCCCTGGCATCGGGACAAGGTCTCAGCCTTCTGCAGCTGTCCTTACATCCTGGCTTTCTCAAAGCCTGCTCTGCGGAACCTTCGTGTTCCAGGTGATTCTAGCACATGCTCAACTTTGTGAACCAACGGCTGCTCAGGCCAAGCCTCTCAAGGGAGGCCCTGACACCTCCAATGGGCAAAATCTGGTCCTTTGAAAGGCAAAAAAAGTTCATCGTTAAAGGTAAAGCACAGGTATACATACAGTTTATAAACATATATTCGGTTTATCTATGGTATTAACATTTCATGGGGTGGCCATTAGGAAAAATGCCTAAGAAGGCTCTTTGGGAGGGGGCGGGAGGATGAAAGAAAGATCGAGAAGCACCGGCCTAGACAGAGGCAGCCATTCAGCAGGGAAATCCCTCTGAAGAATAGGAAGGTGGTGAGAAGTGCCCCCAGCCCTGCCAATAAGGAAAAACCCTCCTTTCCCATCCCCCCACATGACTCATCCCTCTCTTAAAGCTGAAGGGCAAAGGGGTAAATGGGTCCTTTCCTGGGGCACATCAGCTCATACCTGACCGAGCAGAGACCACGCAAAGAATGCCCACTGCTCTGAGGCTGGCTCAGAGCCACACAGGCTCAGGAGGGCCTGGCACACTGAGGAAGGAGCAGGGAAGGGACCAAGATGCAGCAGGAACTGAGGGTGAGAAAGAGAGCAGCCACTCGTGGCTTTCTGGCTGGCAGTGATGCGTGGAAGGAAGGAGCAGGTCCTAAGAAAGGGAACTCACAGAGCAGAGCGGGCAGAAAGAGCAGGCTGGCTTCAGGGACCAGAGTTAATAGCCACCAACACTGACAGAGGCTGGACCACTAGCCAGGCAGGTGCGAGCACCACTCGTGCTGCCCAGGAAGGCAGGTCATGTGATCATCACCAGCAGGTCCGCTCCAGGACCGTGTCTGCCTCAGCCCCCTGTGGCCCCAGGGCCTGGGCAGAGCTGGCCTACAGGGCACACGCAATAAGCATGTACAGAACGAAAAAGCCCTCACTTTTCACACAGGGAAGAACCACAGGGAAGAAAGTCACTTAGCCAAAGCCCTGCGGCTAGGAAGGCAAGTCACTTAGCCAAAGAATCAATCCCAGCAGAGCCCATCTTCCTCACCCTGCGTGCATCCGGGCTCAGAGATCCCTGCCAGTGAAGCTGTGGCCTCGTCCTGTCGGAGGATGGTGAGGGGACGGGCAGGATAAGGGATCATCCTTAGCTGGGCCGCCACCCACCTGGCAGAGCATAAACCTGGTGCCAGCAGGGCATGTGGGGTTTTCTTGGGAAAGCAACACAGCCCAGACCACACAACCTGCCCACAGGAGTCCCCAGACACAGGCCAGTTAAGGAGGAAGCCAGGTCTGCCCGGCCCGGAGACTGGGGAGAGGGGCAAAATGCAGCTTGAGGAGAGGCTTGTCCCTTACCAATCCGTCACAGTTGCTGATGGCGACAGCCGCCCCCGGCATGCCTGTGACACTCCCGGTGTAGACGCACTCTTGCTGCAAGGGCTGTCGGAAGAGCTCCTGGAAGTCCTCCTGCCACTCTGCGGAGGCGCCGGGCACCACCAGCCGCCGGTTGGGCCGAAGGCGCAAGTGCAGTTCCTCCCCGAACACGGTGACATTGAAGTAGAGCCGGGCAGGCCGTGGCGTGGCTCCTCTGGGGCGCAGGGGGCTGCGGGCCACCCGCGGGTGGCCGGCGGGTGAGGGCGGTGCCGGCGGCCTGTCCTCTGACGCCCTCCCTGCAGAGGCTGCGGCCGGGCCGGACACCACATGGGAGAGGAAGCGTCCGCGGAAATCTGTGCTGCGGGGCACGGTCACACCATAGTCACGGAGCCGTCCGGAGAGGGGCCGCTCTGCTGGGGGCAAACGGGGTGTTACTTCAGGACAGGCTGGGCAAAGGTAAGGGAAAGCCAGATCCCACTGCCAACTTTAAAATTAGTGGTACAGCCGAGGCCGGTTTGGCTCGGTGGATGGAGCGTCGGCCTGCGAACTGAAGGGTCCCGGGTTCGATTCCGGACAAGGGCATGTACCCTGGTTGCAGGCACATTCCCGGTGGGGGGTGTGCAGGCGGCAGCTGATCGATGACTCTCTCTCATGGATGTTTCTAGCTCTCTATCTCTCTCCTTTCCTCTCTGTGAAAAATCAATAACATATTATTAAAAAAAAAAAAATAGTGGTATACCTGTAGGATATTCTGTTCTCTCTTATTGAGGAACTAGAGGCCCTGTGCACAAAATTCATGTACCCTAGGTCTGGCTGGCCAGCAGGGCTGATCGGGGCCTTCTGCAACTCGGAGTGTCACCTTGAAGGGACCCTGAGCCCAAGTTCATCCCTTTCTCATCTCTTGCTCCTGAGCCCCCGGATCTCTGCACTCGGATGAATGGTGCTCAAGTACTTTGTGGACATACATTGTTTCCGGGAGTCCCCAGGTCCTTTTCAGCTTAGCAGAAGAAAACAAATAATGCCAAGCAGAGTCCTGTCACTCTAGCAGCAAGCCTTCCAACTCTGAGCACTGCAGAAAGCAATGAAATTCCCCCAAAGCCCCCAGGGCAAAGCCAGGGTCTGCCCAAACATTCCCAGTGTGCTGAAGTCACCAGACCCGCCTGGGGCAGGGCCTCCTCACCAAGCTCCTTGAACGCAGCTGGCAAAACAAACACACCTAGAAACCCAGGGGATCCTGGGCACACGTCAAGGAGAGAGGAGGAGCCGGAGAGGGGAGGGGGGGAATACAAGTTCTATATTTTTCCATGTTTAGAAAGAAAACTTTTTTTAAGCAGCACAGTGGCTGCCGAGATTTCTACATGGCCCAGCCCCAAGCCGGTTAAGTATAGATCTTCAAAAATAAAATAAAAAAGACGCCCAGGATGACCTGCCCACTGGGGCTGAATTAAGTGTGAGGTCATGGCCCCCTGCTCCAGGCTGCATGCCAGCTGCCCCGTCCTCACACAGCCCTCCCTGAGCCCCGGCCAGACCAGGCAGGAATGACAGCTCCCTGGCTCCCAGGCCTGGTGATTCATGGGTCCGGGCTTGGGAGGAATTTTCATTTCCACACGGCTCTATCTCCTGCCTCCCCAGCCCCCCTCACAGCGCTGATAAAACCCGGAAAATGATGTGTCCTGAAAATCCCCCCATGGCCAGCTCTCCTCTGGTTTACCCATCACAGCACAGGAGCCCCAAGACTCCAGCTGGAAGGGTCCGTTCAGCACATGAGCAGAAGCTCACACACAAGCAGCCACCCTGCCCGGGAATTATGGGGGCTGCCTTTCAATGTTCAGAGCCACCAGAAGGGCACCCCCACATTGCCCGGTGAGGGTGAAGTGTGTCTGGTCTGTGTGTGAACAGAGCGTGACAATGCTGGGGCGAGGAAGGAATGTGTGTTTCTGCGCAGGTGTGTCCACTGGGGTGTAGGGTAGCCACCTGCCAGCCTGATTCTATGTGTGTGACAGACACTTGCATACATGTGCACACATGCATACAAGTTGGAGAGAGAAGACACTGAAAGAAAAACACACAGAAGAGAGAGGAGAGAGAGGAGAGAGAGGAGAGAGGAGAGAGGAGAGAGGAGAGAGAGAGAGAGAGAGAGAGACCCACAACGACCAAAATGTACAACCCCTAAGAAGAGAATCCCTATTCCCAAATCCTCTCCTCGGTTGTCTCTCCCAAACTGGTGCCAGAAAGTTAGAGAAATCACAGGACAGCTTCGGTGCACAGCGGAGAACACAGAGCTTAGCCCCAGTGTGCGCACCGCCTCCGACCCGACCGGCTAGGACGCTGCTCGGCCAGCCCCTCAGGCAATGGCGCGTCACCCTGACCCCTGCCCCTGCCCCTGCCCCGCGTGCACCCCGGACCCTCCGCGCCCGCACGCACGCACCTGGGGTCGGGCTGCCCGCGGCGGCGCAGAGCGCGCAGTGCAGGGGCAGCAGGCAGGCGAGCAGCGCGCCGAGCGGAGCCATGTGGCCGCGCGGGGACGCGGGCCGGCCGGGCGCCGGGGCCCCGCGCTGCGGGCTGCGGACGCGGCTGGGGCGCGCCCCGGGCTGCCGGAGCGCCGACCGGCCGGCCGCCGCCGCCGCCGCCGCCTCCAGCCTCGTCGCCTCCCGCCCTCCCGCTCCCGGTCCCCGGCGCGGCGCCGCCGCCTGGACCGCTGGCTCCGGGCGCCCGAGGCTGGCGGCGGCGGGAGAGCGATGCAGCCAACGTGCCATCGCCCCCGGTGCCAACTGCCGGCCGGTCCTCCCGCGCCAGGAGGCTCCGGGACGCGCGGGAGCGGGCGAGGGGGCGGCGGGGCGGGCCGGGGGTGGGCACTGGGCGGGGCGGGGCCGCCGCCGGTCGGAGCGGGGGGCGCCGCGCTCGGGGGCGGGGCGCGGAGCTGGGGAGCGCGGTGGCGTGCGGCCCCGCCGGATCGGAAGTGCCACGCGGAGCCACAGCTGCGGCTCCGGGAGCTGGGCGAGGGTCCCGCCAGCCGCCGGGGTTCTCCCGCAGTGACAGCCCGTAGCTGCTTTCCCAGGCTCCTCCGTTCCCCTTGCTTAACCAGCGCGGCCCTCTAGAGCCGCAGGGCAGAAGGGACTTCCGACTGCATTTGAGAGGGGAGAGAGTGAGCAACCCCCAGAGTGTTTCCTTAATGCCCCCACTAACCTCGGACCGCTTGGATCTACCTAGTTTGCAGACTACAGCTCCCTGAGCCCCAAGCGCTGTGTGACTGGCCTGCGTCCCAGTCAAGAAGAGCAGGGCTGAGCCAGGTGAAGAGAGTACCCTGGCTTTAGGACAGCCCTGATGGAAACCCTAGCTCTGAGCCTCCATGTCCTCATCCACGAAATGGGTGTTAATTACAGCACATAGTAGGTGTTCAATAAATAACATCTATTTCCACCCCTGGCACCTGCCACGCAGCCTAAGGTGGGGAACACAAGAGTCTGAGAGATGAGAGTGGATGCTGGGTTTGCAGTGTTGCCAAGACCAGTTCCGTAGTCGGGCCAACAGCCCAATTCCTGCTCTACGCTCCAGTTTTACTCTATAAATGTGTTCTTAATGATTTGTAAATGAACTATATTTCAAGCAATCCAAAGGAGGGAATAGGATTTTTTTTTTTTTACTGTGAAATAAAGAATCTTTGTGGAAAGTGTATCAAGACCCTAATCTTTCTGCCTTTGAGTTCAAGCATTGTGCTGTAGGGCTTTCTTAAAGGGAGGTCAACTTGAGGATGGAAATTCTCTAACCTGACTTCGCTTGGGGATTCCTGAGTCCCCTGAGAAAGGACTTGGGTTCCTTCCCTCTTCTCCCCATGAGAGGTGTCCCAATCTGCACCCTCGCTGGGCTCTGAATATGCTCCTGCCTTGTGGGCGGAGAACTGGAGTCTTCATCCCCAGGATCCCAGTATCTGGCTCGGAGACTCCCCATAGGCAGTGCCTGTGGAATAAATGAAATGACTTTGAGGTTTTGGAAGGTCAGTGCTCTTATGAAGCAGGTACAGAGAACTGAAGTGATGTATCCCAGGTCACACATTTGTAGCTGGAATCAGAACCCAAGAGCCTGGTGCTGAGTGGAAGAGAGAAGCAAGATTGGCCATCAGGAGACTGTTCTAGGCTGGACTTTGCCAAGTACAGGCCATGGGCACATCATTTTCCTTCGGGCTGCAGTAGCTCTCTGTCAAAGGGGAAATCCTGAGGAATCCTGGAGTCACAGATGCAAACTCTAGAGACCTGTGGAGATGCAAAGTGTGTTCTATTCCAAGCAAGACCAGAGCATTCGGTTACAGTCTTCCCTCTGTATCCTTGGGAAATGGTTCCAGGACCCTCACAGACGCCAAAATCATGGGTGCTCAAGTCCCTTATGTAAAATGGCATTGTATACACATGTAATCCATCTTCGCACACAGGCTACTGCCGAGTGTACATACACACCACTTCCCTCGCATGGATTCAGCCTAGTGCTCAGCACGTGGCAAATTCAGGTTTTGCTTTTGGAGCTTTCTGTAATTTTCCCCCCAAATAGTTTCCATCTGTGGTTGATTGAGTCCTTGAATGTAAAACCTGCAGATATGGACAGCTGACTGTATTTGGAAATGGCATCACCAAACTAATCTGTATTAGGTTCGGGAAGAATAGAGTTCCTTTTCTCCATTTTTCTGTTCCTCTAAAATCTGTGAAGTCAAGAGCCAGACTGTCGTTTTGTGTGTGAAGGCTGATGGAGCAAGAATGCGAGGGGTACATGTGTGTCCGTGGGAACAGGAGGTGACCAGGCCTGGAACTGTGTCCACTCTGGCGCTCTGGGAGCCCACTGAGAGAGCTCCAGATAGAACCGCCTGCCCTCCCAGAGCCTCAGTGTTCCCAGCTGCAGAGTGGGGGCCATGTGAGGACAGAAGGGAAAATTTATGGCCTATGATTGCCAATCCTCTGCCTGCTGCAGGCCATCTCAGAGAAGCTTGCCTGGGAAACTCAGGACTGAGGCCCCTCCCCAGACTCCGCCCCATTCATTTCTCAGACTTGATAAGTCAAGAAGGACAGACCACAACTGGGACCCCAGCCACCTGACGCAGGAACAGTGGGGCTGGGGCCTTCCCTGGAGCCAGTCTTGGCAAGCAGAGAGCAAAACCTCACCCTGATTCGCTACCCCCACTCCCTTCCCAGGGCTACAATGGTTGCTTTTGTTGGCAAGTATTGGATGTCCAAGTTCTTTTCTACTGAGGAAGCCTTTGTTAGGGAGAGGGAACATAGGAACACAGCTCAGCATCTGGGCCAGAAGGTGGGGGAATGGCCGGGTGGAGGTGAACAGGGCCAACGCAAAGAAGTGTACTGGCATCAAGCAATGATGCTGGCAACCCTCTCCCGTGGGCACGTTCCGGGTCCTCTCCTCGCCTCGGGGTTTTGCACGGAGGAGAATGGCTTGGGTGCTTCTCTTGCTGACAGTCCTATGCAACAGGCTTTCAGTCCAGGGCCCTGGCAGGAGCCGGACAGGTGCAGCTCCCCCTGCATAAAGTCAGCAGCCAGTCGGCAGGCATGACAGGTGCGTGGGGATGCCTGAAGAACACATGATCCGGGGAGGGGGATCCTGCTCTGGATAAAGAAGCAGGGCACGCAGTGCTGTGGGGATTTGGAGGGAGAGGGGCTCAATGGGAAGTTCCCCGGAAGACGTGGGTCTGAGCTAAGCCCGCAGGAGAGGAGGAGAGGACGTGTTTCTGAATGAGCCCAGGCGTGGAGGTGGGAACAGACGCCCTGAGTGAGCGCCCCCCTGCGGGGGAAGGCGGTCCTGGCCCGCAGCCCATCCTCCCTGGAGCACAAAACTCAAGTTGGAACTACAGGTGCTCTGACACAGTCTCCAATCCATTGTTCACCCCCCTTATACACGGCAGTAAACTGAGGTCTAGAGAGGGAAAGGGACTGGCCCCTTGTCACACAGCTAGTTTAGAGGAGGGCCAGGACCCCGGCTTCAAAACCAAGGCCCCTGCCCTCTCACCTGCAGAAGCACAGCCTCTCCCCAGTTCCCTCCCGGTCCCTTGCTCTGCCTTCCAAGAGGAAGATGAGAGGGTATGAGGTTGAGACAAAACCCCACACCTCAGGGGGAGGCATAGATGCCCCCGATCGCCAGGAAACAAAGAATGTCAGCCTGAGAGGCCAGGCACCCCTGAGGGAGGGTGTGTGGGCTGCACAGCGGCAGGCACAGTGTTGTCACCGCTCCGGAGGCCCAGCAGGTGGCTGTCTTTGGTTGAGTATCAGCTGCTATGCTAAGCACTTTGCATGTTACCCTGAAATACACACAGAGGGTCCCTTTCTTATAACCTCTGGTGTGACCAGCAACCAGCTGGGCCTTGGCATGCTCTGGAGAGGAGAAAGGGAATCTCACCCTAACTCAGGGGAACCCGCCACCATCCACCCAGTTAGGAAACCGGACAGCCGGAGCCATCCTAGTCACCTCTCTCAGGAGCCATGTCAATCACTTCTAAGCCCTGTGGTCTCTGCTCTACAGGACCCTCCCCGCTCCCCCCGCCCAAATATAGCTACTTCTATCTCAAATGCATACCCCATCACACCCAGGCCATCAGTACCCCTCTGGACACTGCCATAATATGTCCTAACAGACCCCACCCCCGCCCTGTTTCTCTGGCCCCTGAAACCTTCCCTCCAAATACATCTGGAGGAGGTATCTGAAACACACCTCAGGTCAGGCAGCTGCCTCCACTACAAAACCTGCAAAGGTTCTGTTGCCCTTATGATAGAGACCACAGACACCCTAATTCAGCCTTGGAGGCTCTGCACGGGGTAGTCCTGCCAGCCTTCCTGCAGCCCTCCAGCAAGCTCCTTGAGTGCATGCTCGCCTTGCCTCAGGGCCTTGGCACAGGCTGCTCCCTCCAGCCTGAAAGCTCTATTCTACCTCTTCACTCAATCAATCCCTGCCCGTCTGGGGGTCACCCTTCCAGTCCTCTCTTCCTGAAGCCTGTCCTGTCCCATCAACAGTCAGACCCCCCTGTTATTGCACCGTCTCCGTCTCCTTCACAGCACTGGTCACCGTGGAGCTTCACGGGTTCTATGTGATTCACAGGTTCGTATCCGCTTCCCCCACTAGACCGTGAGTCCACGGGCAGCAGGGACCTCGTCTGGACTTTCCTCCTCATGGTGTCCCCAGTGCCTGTCCTGCTTGGCATCTAGTGGGGCCCTCAATCTACATGGGTTAAATTAATAATCAGAGGAAAAGGAGTTGGAGAAGGAACAGCTCATGGAAACTTTGGGGAGTTGAGTGTTTCCCAGAATCACGTCGTGCTAGGGGAAAACTTGAGACACACACGTTCTGATTCCACCATCAACGTGAAGGTCAGCAGCAGGCTCCTTGGGGGAGCAGGGAGAGGGGTGAAGAGTCGCTCTGTACTCCCCCAAGCCTTGACAAGATATTAAAAACAACAAAATCGTCATCATAGCTGCCACCTGTCGGCCAGGCACTACATATTTACATCGGTTCTCACAGAAAC